GTCTCACCCCAGCCTGCAGCATCAAACTCTGGGCCAGGTCTCAGCCCTGTCTCACGTGTGTCCTTTTAGTCACCCTCCTGGCCCCGGCCCCCGAGCCCTGCAAGCTGAGGTCTGGCTCCACTCGCTGTTTTGCATTTGCGTCTCACGTCCAGGCTTCAGAAATATGTCCTGTCATCCAGCCCAGCCAAGCTTACTTGACAGTCTCTCCTGTTTTTATTTGATCCACCACGGCTACTGTGCAAAGAGGTGGTTCTCCTGTCTCCATAGATATTCAGACGATTCAAGCAAGTTTAGATAAAACCCGATGAAAAGTGGATTAACAAGGAGAAGAGGCGAGGAAGGATTTACACAGCTCTGCTTGTTGGCAATTCATCTCAAGGTGACACATTCGGGTTAGAGTAAGCCGATCGCTTTCACAAATAGCCTTCCCAGAGCAATCACCCAGGACCCTGGACTCCAGTATGAATAGACTCAGTCTCCCCCAACCCTACACCGCCATTCAAACCCTCCCCCCCCCTCTTCCCAGCCCAGCCCCAGCCAATATATACCTGCCCTTTCATTAAAAATGGGCCTGCTCACCAAATGCCCAGCAGTCTAGTCTTCTCTGGCCGGAATGCCTTTGCCAAGCCCACCTTAACGGATCTGCCCTTTGGGGATCTGCTCAAGTCTGAGGGTCGGTAATGATGCCTTTGCTAATGCCACTGACCCGCCTCTCCCTCCTCTAAATGTATCTCTGTTGTCAGTTTGACATTTAGCCACCAGGACCTGTCATCTTATGTACTTGATATCTTTTCCGTGTCGAAAAGTGCCTTAATACCTACAACTCATGAGGTGTATCAGCTGCACACGTCTGCTCTCCCTTAATGCTCCCAGAATCCTGAAGGATGATAAGGCAAATAGTATCACAGTTACAGCATTATTCTCTTTTTTTTTTTCCAAATGATACCATTGATGTTTAGAGATGTTAAGTAATCTGCCCAACTAGAAGTGGCAGAATTGGGATTTGAACTGAACTTGGTCTATCAACAAATTTGTAATAACTTTCTACTATAATCAAAATGTCAACGAGGTTAGCTTCACCTCAAATCCAACCCAAGTGGCTGGTTTTAGCTGCCCAAAGTACTTTGTCAAAAAGCCGAACTCAGCCTGACCAGTGAAGTTCAGTGGTTGAGTGTCAACCTATAAACCAAGAGGTCATGGTTCCATTCCGGTCCAGGCACATGCCCAGCTTGTGGTCTTGGTCCCCAGTGGGGGGGCATGTAGGAGGCAGCCAATCAGTTACTCTCTCTCATCATTGATGTTTCTATATCTCTCTCCATCTCCCTTCCTTTCTGAAATCAATGAAAATATAAAAAAACAAAAAAACAAAAAATAAAACAAAAAAGCCAAGCTCAGGCTCAGCTTGAAAGGGAACCGTCCGCAATGAAGGAGCAGGGTCAGCGTGGGTCCAGCTATAATGGAAGAGCACTCAGCCACCTGTTTGCCGTCCCCTGTCGCATGCTAACTTCCCTGAGCTGGGAGAGCATTTGCTTCCAGTTGCATTTACATTGCATGTACAGGAGCATTCACAGTCTACAGCCCTTAGAGCACAGAGCTTACCCTATAGCAGATGAGCGTCAATATTCCCCACCTGTGGCTGCATCGACACCCTCGGTGAGGCCCAGCAGACCCTCTGCTCCGGACCAGCTGAGCAGCTTGGCTCGGTGACTGATTCCAAACTAACAAGCATACTGTGAAGCTTAAGGAAAACTGTTTGACCAAGACGACTGAACATCAGTGTGAAAAATAAGTGGTAATACTTTTCTGCATGGTGATAATACTTTTCTCTCGCATGACTTGGTACAGAGAAACCGAACCGTGCGGAACGCACACCCTGCAGGTGGTTATTCCTAAGGTCGTGCATCTCCTCTGGGGACCCCCCTGACACCCCATCATATGTGATAATTCCTGACTTCTTGTATCTCAAGATTCCTGGAAGGATCAAGGGATAAGGGGCCAGTGTGATCTGATACACCACCCCATTGCTTGCTTCCGCCATCCCTGCTCTATCAATTAGTGAATCAGAAAGAGAGGGACATGTCTGGCAGGTACTGTCGTCAATTCCTGGAGACACAGTGACCAATTACCACGCTTCTCCAAGCCAGCCCTGCTCCCCTCCCCGGCCTCCCTCCTGGACCACCTCCTGCCCCGGGCCGGGAGTTCTGTTTCCGTCTCATCGCTTTACCATACCTCGGCATGGGGACGTGTCCAGGAACCCAGGCCAAGACCAGCACATGTATCACTGTGCTCATGACAGCAAGCTGCGTGCGGGGTGGATTCCGCAGCCCCCACCCCCGCAGCTCCTCCCGCTGCCAAGAGCCAAGGCGCTGCGAGATGCCGCCGATTGCAGGCTTATCTCCGCGTGAGGAATGGTCCTGTTGGCAAATGCAATTAGCTATCAGCCATTGGGCTATTTTTAGAAGCTTGTTTGGGACGATCTCAAAAACAGAAATTGCCCCGTGGTGAGAGATGTTAGCCGATTTGCCAAAACAGAGCATCCGTAAAACATCTGAAACGTGCCATTAGCAACATGGAGCGTCACGCAGACGGGCCTTCTGTCCCCTAGGAAGGGCTCACTGTTCCGTGATCAGGTAGGATGCCTGTAACGTTTATGGAACGTTCAGTCCTGGTGGCCAAGTCCTGTGTTTGTTCACACGAGCAGCTCTTCCCAGGCTGGGGCTGTGGAGGTCCTTGACCTGGTCCTTCCGAAGGCACTTCCCAGGGCCTGGCCAAGGGAGCTGTCATTCCAGCTGGAGCTGGAGGTCACGACAGGCCAGGCTGAGCGCCCTCTGGGGCAGTACACGATGCAGGGGCACGTCATCGGGAGACCCAGGTCAGGGAGGCTCATGGTGGGGAGAGCAGGTCACTGGCGGTGTCACTGGGAGGAGGTGCCCAACTCCTGGGCGGCTCCCACTGCCAGGTCCCAGGAAACAAGCGCAGTCCGGGGGACACTGGCTCTCTCCACTGAGGGCAGGAGAAAGCCCCGATCGCCTCTCTAAGCAGACAGGCGAGTCTACGTGTGTGCTGTTTGGCACAGCACCGGGGCCTTCTGTCTGAAGAGTGTGTGTGCTGTGCTTCTTGAAGATTCATCAGTGATATTGATGCTGCTGGAGTCCCGCCCAGCAGCTCCCCTCATCCAGCTTCCACCCCGCTGATGGAGATAGTGATGGTCTTGTCCCTCAGGCGGGGCAGGGGAGGTCCCATCTGGGGCTGGGCTGGGCCTGGGGCTGGGCTGGGCCTGGGGCTGGGGCTAGGGCTGGCCTGCGGTTCAGGTCATGTTCCCGTTGGCTCCCAGGCCTTCTGAATGCTCATCCCAGTGGCTGGGTGTCCACCTCCCAACTCCCTCCCAGCACACTCCTTGAGTTCCCACTTCCCCACTGGAAATTGGGGGCAATCATTGCTGCACCCGCTCCCTGGCTTCCTCTCTGTGAAGATACAGACTGGCTCAGTGCACTCCTGGGCCCAGCTGCACAGCAGCCTCCGAGAGGGAGCTGACGAAGCTGGTTTAACCAGAAAGTACACCTCTGAGTGCAGGAATCTTAGCACCCTGAGGGGTAGAGTGCTCTCACTGCCAGCGAGAGAGGATCCAAGGATCCTTTCTCTGCTCTCCCAGAGAGCTAGCAGGTCGGAGTCTGAAAGCACAAGGAAGCATGTGTGGCCGCCACCTCAGTATCTCCTTACCCAGCATCATCAGTGGGACAGCCTGCACACATACAAGTGGGGGGAAATGAGCATTTCATTCTGTAGAAGGGACCCTAAATTTGGTGGAAGCTAAGCAGAATGACCTCTAGGAGTGCCCGAGAAGTGTGAGTGGGCGGCAAGGTCTCATGTGACCCCTCCACTGACTGCAGTTCAGCTGCAGCCTCTGAGGCGTCGAACTCGCTTTGTGTGAAGAAAGGAATACGTGAGAGCAGGGAGTGAGGAGGTTCCCAGGCTCCCTTGGAATCCCCCAGGGGCCTGACCACATCTCCCCACTGGGACAGGCAGTATAGACAAACTGACATTTTAACTGGTGTGCCAAGCCCTCGCACATAAACACGTCCCCGGGCCACGGCATCTCCCTCCCTCGAGCAGGAACTCCTAGAGCTTTGTGGACGGAGACTGGCCCATTTTGAAACAACTTAATCCATGCTGCGACAGTCCTCTTTATGAGCTGTTTCTTCCTCATAGTGAGCCCCATCTCTGCCTTCAGTCAACTTGACTTTTGCCCTCAGCGGTAGGACAAAAATAAATGTTTTCTCATCCCTATGACAATGTTTAGTTTGTTAAGACAGCAGTTATCTCCATTCCTCCTCTTCCTCCAAGTATTTTCTGCCCCATCCAAACGCCGCGGGCCACCCTCAGAGAGTTCTCATCTGGCATAGTTTCAGACCCCTCGCCATTCCAGTTACCATCTTCTAAATAGTTTCTATTTTGCTATCATTCCTTATAAAGAGTTGCTCCTAGAACTACCAACTATGGTCTGATGACTGCTATCACCTCCTTTGATCTACACACGATACCTCTATTAATACAACCTAGAATTATGTGTGCTTCATACCAAATGATCAACTGTTGTGTTTATCTTAAGGTTTTGATTAACTCAAACTACCATCTTTTGACACAATCTCATATAGCTTCAAAGAATTAAGTGGATTTAAAACCCTCCCTGTGAGTTATTAAATCATCAACCCTGCATCCCTCTGTAAGAGACCAGAGCCCTAGCAAAGATCTCCAGTAACAGACTAAGTAGTGACCCCCAAAATGATTGGCTCCAAAGGTGAGCTGTGTATTGGCAGTGATGTGCCAAGACCCCGGCCTTTGCAGCCTCTGCTTCCAACAAAATGCAGGCAGAGAGGGGCTCTTCTTGGGAGCTGTGCCTGCTTTTGTCTCCCTTACTCTCCTTTCTCTTCAGCCTGACCCATGCTCCTGAGGCCGTCTTCCTCCCGCCCACTAACGGTGTTCCTCTGTGTCTCCCACAGGTCACCTGAAGGAGGAAATCACCCAGCGGCACCTGCAGCAAGCAGCTCTAGGTGAGTGCAGCGTGGAGCCTGCGGTAGGCAGGTGAGGGTTACACTGGCTCCCTTGCCTGGAACCCCACCCTCAGCTGAAACATAAACCGCTTAAATCCTTGGGAAGGGGAGGAAAGTGTGGTCAGTGCAGCCTCCTGCGAACACCCCTCCTCCCAGGGTCCAGTTTCCCCCACCGGTGTGCTTGCTCCCAGCGTCAGCACCAGGCACTCCACACTCCTTGCCGCTGCCTCATCCTCCTGACCTTGTCCACGCCACACCCCAAAGTAAATTCACCCCACGTCCCAGGCTCTCAGAGGCCTACTGTGAGCTTTCTAGAGCCACTGCTAGCTTATCCTTCAGTGAGGACTGGCGGTAAAAGCAGCCTCCGTCTCCTTCCACCCACATCGCTGGCCAACAGGTAAGTGCACTTTCCGTATGAAGGCGATCTGATGACTTCCTGAGGTCACAGGGCTTCTCAGTGTGAAACTCGGACACTGGTGCTTTCAGCTCCACACTGCTTTGCCCACAACAGTGGTATATGCACTTCCTCACATTAGTAATGAGACACTAAACAGCCCAGTGACATGCTAACTTGGAGGCCTTTGGCCCCCTTTAAGCAGTGACATCTGCAGAAAATGCTCCCTTGGGACATGTGACTGAGGAAGGGAGCTGGGAGGAGCTTGCGACCCCAGAGAGGCTGATGGGACAGGCACTGGGCAGGGCCAGCTTGCTCCTCTGCAGCCGGGGTCCAAGCACACTGGGGGCTCTAGTTAAATATGCAGTGTGTTTATCCTAAACCAAGAGTCTCTCCAGGGTGGCCTGGCCCTGGAGTGGCCGGGACCTGAGAAATCCAGCACCCGGGACTTCGAGAATGGAGGGCAGCCCAGGGTCAGGACGATGACCCATGTGACCCTGGTAACTTGATGTACAGGAAGGTTGGTTGTTTGGTTTCAGTAAATATAAAGGTCGTTTCAACAACTGCTGATTACATCAGAAATAAAGAGCAGCCCCAGGACTGAGGGAGGTCAGCCTGCCTCCTGTGTGTGCCTCTGACGATGCTGGTCAGCGGGGCTGGGTGACTGTCGTGAGCCGTGCCGGGTGGAGGAGACTGGCTGGTGAAGGGAGGCCAGGCCCAGGGCTGTCAGAGGGCATGCCGCCGGCCTTGTGGGAAGAGTGCGTGTTACCCACTCAGGAACTTGGGAGCCGTGGTTAAACACAGCTGGTGTTAAAAGCTAATTATGTCTATGATAATACAAGCATAGTATGCTAATTAGACCGGACGACCTTCCGGACGAAGCCAGGGCTGCGAGGGAAGCCAGGACCCCGGGTGCCAGAGGGAAGCTGGTGCCGGCAGCTGGGGAAGGAAGGTCTCCTCTTGCATGAATTTTGTACATCGGACCTCTAGTACAATTATAAGTAAATTACATTGAAAAAAACAAAGGTAACAAATACCCCAAATCCACCCCTTGCTGATTAATTTACCACATTTTACTGTCATCTCTGCGCGTGAGGTCATTGACATCATGGGGTCTGTCTCATGGAGATGCATTTGATGGCGGGCTCCCCATGTGTCTCCTTAGTCCACGTTCAGGACGTGGCCCAGGCAGCTTGAGGTCAGCGTGGTGGGAGCGTTTACACCAAGGAACTGACTCATGTTATACATGGGGGCTCCTTCCCCCATGGAGCCCGTGTTACACATTTACCATCACACCACTGGCACAGACAAGTATCCATTGAGAGGCCAGCTTCTGCATGTGTATGTATATGTGTGTGCACACGTGCATGCACGTACACATGCACATACACATGCACGTGCCTGTGAGTGTGCTCTCATAATAACTTCTACCCACTTCTGGCGGCCCTCCTTCATGGCCTGCCTCCCACGGAACCCTGTCCTTCATGAAGTCAGTGGGCAGGGAAACCAAGGCAGACAGAGTGGGGCAGGCGAGGCAGGGCCCAGCACCCCCCAGATGCGACAGCCAGTGTCCGAGGGGCTCTGTGGGAGACACATCAGTGGCCAGTTCTAACAATGTCACATACAAGCAAAAGTGACTGGTGGGCTTGGTGCGGGGCCTACTCCCACCCACTGTTTCCGGAAACAATGCAACAATGTTCTTTTTTAAATTAAGCGGCATTTGGGAACGATTCTACTTGAACTAGATTCAGCTAGTGCCTTGAATTCCGTGTGTTTCCCCCACTTTGTGTTCCTGGCTGCGGTGGCACGGTGTTGTCGCAATGTGGAGGACACACTCAGCAGCCTTTCTCAGTTCTTCATCGTGAGCTTCATAAAGAGCTTCATGGCTCCTCGCTCTTTGCCTGGGTTTCCTCCTGGGATGCTTCTAAAGCACCCATAAGCAGGCACGACTGTTGCCCTGGCTTTACCGTTAAAGCTCAAAACGGTTACGCGCACCTGCCTAATGTCGCTCAGTTAAGGGTGCAAACACAAAGGCGCAGCTCCAGATCCCAAGCTCCCACCCACCCCACACTGGGCTGCCCTCACCCATGCCAGGAGGGCATCGTGGGTCCACAGAGGGCAGGGGGTGGATGCCTGCCCTAGTCAGGGGGAGGGGCCACATGCACAGAGAAAACTCGATCCAATTTCAGATGTAGACACATATGTGTTGTGCCGCTGTGTCCTCTTCCGACTGCAGTCCCCGAAGCAGTTCAACCATGACATCCTCCGTGACCTCCCCATCCCGGTCACCACGCCGGCGTTGTCCTCCAGCCCACACACCTCTGCGAGAGCACCAGCCCGTTTTGTAATTGTCCCTTTCCATAGCTGTTCTCCACTCTAAAGCGTGGGCTCCCCGAAAGTCGGAGGAGACTTTGTACCCCGGCAGCCAGCATGGGCAATAAATAGGCCCAATCAGTGCTTCCCCAGATGGCTTCCAGACCCACACATCTTGCAGAAGTATAATGAGACATGGGAACATAAAATAAAATAAGTCCATTAAAAGCAGTGGAAGGAGTAAGTGCTTTTGGACCCCACAGCTGAGCAGATTCTAACGCGCAGGCGATAAATTCTTCTCCCTTATCTAGCCGCGAGGCAGAAAGAGAAGCACCGAGCGCCAGCTCCTTTTCTGACAACAGGAAGCGCGCTCACTAATTCATCCGCAAAAATAGCATTTCTCCTGGAACCAAACACAGCCGGCATCTACTGTGCAGACCCTCGTGTGGAGGGCAGAGTGGCTTCGTGAGCAACATCTCCCACTGCGGTCCTACAGAACGCATGAAATGTTATTCAGGCACAATCCTTACACCCACCCCCGTAAGGGCACGAGCGGACACTGCAGCTCAGCTCAGGAAGTGTGGGTGTGCGGCCGAGGTCCTGCACCAGCACCTGCTCGCGGTGGCCCACGGAGCGGGATGGAGCAGGATGGAGGAGGATGGAGGGTTGGGGGAGGGGCCAGCCCCAAGCGGTGGCTGCTCAGTGTCTCTTCTGAGCAGTATCTGACCAGGGACTGGCTCTCGCTCAGCTGCCCTCAGAATCCTATCAAGTGCCTGTGACTAAAGTGTAAAAGACACAAGCCCTGCTGAGCGGCTGTGAAACGTGGCAGGGAGAGGGACTGGCCATAAGCTCGGGAGGGAACGCACCTGAGGGCATGGCCTGGAGGTCACTGAGACCACGGCCTGGGCTGGGCTTAGAGAAGGGGCAGGACTCAGAACCCCAGTGGAGAGTGCAGGGAGGGGGCTGTTGTTGTGGTGTGTGGGGGTGTATGTGTGGGATGTGTGGGGTGTGTGACACGAGTAGGGTCTATGTAAGTGTGTGACATGTACGGTATGCATGGTGCGTGTGGCATGTGTGGTATGTCTACTATGTGTAGTACTAGTATGTGTATGGTACATGTGATTATGTGTGTATGGTGTGTGTGTGTTCTGCGTGGTTATGTGTGTACTATGTGTGGTGCGTGTGGTGTGTGGGATTTGTGTGTACTGTGTGTGTGCTATGTGTAGTGTACGTGATGTGTGTGTGGTGTCTGTGGTTATTGTGTAGTGTGTGTGTATGTCATGTGTGTTATATGTGGAGGGGGAGTTGGATGACTTTGGGGGGAGTAGATCTGAAGCAGTGGGGAGTGCTGAGAGGAGGGTTCAGTGAGGACCGTGGGCCTGAGCCCTTACCTTTCTGCCAGTGGAGCCACTGAGCATTCGCCAGTAAGGAGGTCTGGGTCAGAGGCCGTGCAGAAAGAGAGGGCCCCAGGCGGTCGCTGAGTTCCCAGCACTGCCAGCTGCCTGGGGCCTGACAAATCAGTCTTCCGCCCCGACACCCACCACAGCCTCCCCCTCCCCCTGCCCGGCTGTTCCCTGGGCACACACACTCCCAGACCAGTCAGGGAGGGCCCGGCCAGCTCTCACTGAGTCTGCTGCGGGCACACAGGTCTGAGACTGCCCCGAGAGCCCCACACAGGCCACACGCCCTGCCTGCCCGGCCTCGCCCTGGGGGCTGGGTGGTCGGTCTATGGAAGAAGGAAGTGGGAAGTCCTGCCCCTGAGAAGCTCGGCCCTCGTTGGATGGCACCACACCTGTCTCCACAGTTATCGCTGCCCCAACTTCTGTGAAAGCATGACCTGCTGGAACATTCCGTGGCCTCTATTACAGGCACGTCACAGGAGATAGCAACAAAAACGACGAAGATGAATTAAAGAAAAGAAAAGCTCCACAAGCATGCCATTGGCAGGTCCAAATGGCGTGGAAATGGGGCAGCCACAGCCGTCCCCAGCACCCTGTCCCCAGCGCTCGGGGTCTTGGAAGCCTTGGGAGCATGGGGAGGCCCCAAAGCCCAGGGCTCCCAATTTCACTGCATTGTTCCAGCTGAGTGTCTCCCAACAGCTCATTTCCCCCAAACAGAGTTCCTGCAGTGACCCCTAGTGGCGATCCTGCTGTCGCTGAACAGAGGCCTCTGCGGATGCCACTTTCTCCACTCGGTGTAAAATGGTTTAAGATTGCTCTTTGGTCTGCAATGCTTTTTGGAATTCTGCATCCGGGAGCAACACATTTAAGAGAAAGCAAAAGGCCAGACTGTC